GCAAACACCAGAGTCCTATACAACACCATGCTCACACGATATTCTGGACTCCTCGCATGACTTGGTGAGCCCAGAAAGAACTGATGTTCGTGGAAACCACTTTGAATCACATTTCTTGCCCCAGGCATCAAAGACCATCACCCCCATCCCAGAAGTCACCCAGTTCTTTTCAACAGCTCTCAGATCCCATTACTCTCAGTCAATCACCCGATGGTTAGCTCTGCCGTGTGTGCGAGGCACTACACCAGAAACAAGAGGATCACAAAACAAGACACAGCCCCAGCCTTCTGGGACTTCACGATGCCTTTGTGGAGATGAGAGTAAAGACATGATTAGTGAAACCTGGCACGAGGGAAGACATCTCTTCTCGCTCCTCCAGATCCCATCTCCAGCTTCACCTTGCTCTGTGCCCCGGGAGGAGATGTCTCAGAGACACACGAACCAAGCTCCCTTCTCTCTGGTTTCCTGGGGTTCTATTATTGGGAGCCAATAAGAAGAAATTGGAGGGCAGGAAGAGCAAGCTGTCTGGATATTCATTCCCCAGTTCCCGCCCTTCCTGTCCAAGGGCTGGCAGTGGCTGTCTCTTGTTACCCGAGGACATAGCTGCTCTTCAGAGGCCTGTTTGTGGCTACTGTCTCACTAGGTCCCAGCAATGAGACTCTTCCCTGGCACCTTCGGGTCTAGGGGTGGTAGCTGCTTCTTACCTGTAGCTCCAGGTGCTTCAGCATCCTTCACTGGTTTCCTTTAACCTGCCCACACCAATGTCAATGAACCCTTCATTACACTCTCTCCTTCCTGAGTGGCCATCTGGAGCAGATGCCGTGGTGCTCTGTGAGCAGCCCCAGGTGTGCACTGTACTCACTGGGGTCTTCTCGTGCACCTGTCACTCTGCCCATGTCTCTCTCCAGCCCCAGGGATGCGGTTGAACTACACAAGTGTCCACACCCCCCAAGCACAGTCCTCAAAGACTGATAGAAGGCCCAAAGTGTGTCCACATCTCTCCCAAAGGCCCCCAGTAGGGTTGAGCCCCATGGTCCCTAGTGTTGACATGCCCACTAACGTCCCATCTCACTCCCCTCTTCCCTGCCTCACTGCTCCAGCCCCCTACCAATGCTCCCAGTAAACCACTGGCAACTCAAATCTGGTCTCGGTGTCTGCTTCTGGAGGGGCCCAACCTGAGACAGCCTATGTTTTCTGCAGGGAGCCTGACTGATACAGGATCTAAGATTGATTAAATAACTGCTACATAATAAAACTGTGCTAGGCACTTTACATGCATTTTCTTATTTGTCCTCAAAAAAAAAAAAAAAAAAAAAAACCCTGTCAGGAAGGTACTGTTGGTAACTACATCTTGCAGGTGATAAAACTGAGGTTTAGGCTCAAAGAGGTTAAGTAAGTTGCCCAAAGCAACTCAACTAGTCAGTAGGCAGCAGAGGTAGAATATGAAACCAGCATTAATTAGCCTCAAGAGGGGCCCTAGACCCTTGTCTTATTATAGTTTACATGTACGGTGAACAGAAAGGTTGAAAGCAAAGCAACAGGAGCTCTGAGAGCCAGAGAAGCTTAGAGCAAGAATTGTGAAGTCCCAGCAGTCCCTGGCAAGCCTCTCCAACCCTTCCTTACCACCCTGCTACCTCACCCAGAGCATGGTGGTCCTTCCCACCACGTCCACAGCATGACTCAGCACCCAGAGACTCCTGCCACCACCTCCTACACCGCCTGCTCCTTCCACAGGGAGGTGCTTAACTTCGAGGTATCTCTGGAAATGGCCACATAGGGCATGGAAAGCACATGCTGGCTCAGGAGAAGGGCCCAGAAGGAAGAAGAGAACGTTCTGTCTTTCTCTGCTCCTCGAGCTTCTGTCTGCCTGTGCTCTTGCTACCATTGCTGCTTTGCCAGCCGCATAGGAACCCATGCTGGCCTCCTATGTGGAAGCTTCTAGAAACATTGCTGGCAACAGGGACTCTGGCAGGCTTTGCTCTCCCATGAATCCAGATGGGTTTCCATGGAGCACAGCTGTGTGAGAACAGAAAAGAAGAGCTTCCTCCCTCTCTGCTCCGTTCAGCCCCTGGACAAACCATGAGAAGCAGCAGTTGGGGACACAGCTGCCACTGAGCCAGGGCAGGAAGGGAGCACGGTCTCAGAGGGCCAAGGGGTCTGGGGGCTGAGAGGCTCCAGGGCTGTCTTTTGCATTCCATGCTGCAGCTTCCCTTCTCTTTCCCTTTCTCCTTCTTAAGGAGACCCCCAGACTCATGCAAATGCCCTCCCAGGTCTCCGATGTTGAGTCACTCCATGTGTCTAACCCAGCCTTTCCCGCAGGACTTAGGAAAGGTAAACGCTGAGGGAGTCTGTGAACTCTTGAGATGGTGGGGGGAGGTCTCTAAAGCCACTGCAAAGAGGCAGCGACACAACAGTTCTGGGTCCAGAAGGAGCCTTCAGGAAGATGACCACCGCTCCACGACAGGGGAGCTGAGCCTTCCCTTAGGTCAGATTTCTAATTCCAGTAGTGACCATCCACGGGGCAAGAACCTCCCATTGTTAGTCTTGTGCCCACCAGGGAGCCTAGCACACTGCCTAGTGCACAGTAAATATTCAGCAAATCATTGTTTAATTCAATTGCATTGAAGTCCTCTGGCCACAGGAGTTGTCTATCTCTGTAGGGAGGGTAGAAATGAACTTCCAACACAGGTTCAGAAATCAAGCCCTCCTTGGACATTAGGGAGGAGACTGAAGAAACCACCTTTCTTCTCCCAGTTTCTTCTTTACACTCTGCTGCATAGCAAAAGAGAAAATTACAAGATTCCCAGGCAGCGCAAAATGTCTAAAGTCCCCAGAGTCCTTGGATCTTGGGCTGGAGATCCCACTTCCCCGGTGGAGAAAAGGAAGAAGCTGGGTGCAGGGAACCTTGATGACTCTTGTAGCAGGGATCAGTTTTGCTCCACAGCTGGGTGCAAAATAGTGCCACGTTCCTCACGGCTTTCTCCGGCCTCTGTCATGTATGGAGGGGCTGCCTAGAGGGTGCTCAGAAATAGGTGAAGGCCATGGTCTCTAAGATGCTCGTCATCCAAGCCCAGTTGCTTCATGCAAAGGCAGGAAGCTGCATCCTTCCATGCCTAGGGGGATACAGGAGTCTTTGAGGCTCCCAAGGCTCGGCTTCAGTGTTCAAACCCTGGTACCTTGTGCTCCTCATCAGAGAACCTCACCTCTAGGTCCCTGCCTGGAAACAAGGTGCAGTTCTTTAGCCTATTCAAGGCGAGATGCTACTAGAAGATTGGAAGTGGAGGAGAGATGCCAAGTCTTGCTCCCCTTCTCTCTGCTTCCTAAGGAAGCATCTTCAGCAGCTGCTACTTCTCCTCTGTGGCTCCAGCGGCTCCCCTGTGGCTCCAGCTCCCCCACGCAGGCCAGCCCTGGTTCCAGCTGCCTTAGGCTCTCCTTCCTTAGTCCTTCAAGCCTAGGGCAACTAGGCTTCCTGCTTGCTCCTGATAATCTTGGGGTTGCCTTCCCAGCCCCTCTTTGGCTCCTTAGCAATTCCATTTCCTGCTGACCAGTTCTCCTTATTACGCTCTCTTTGCTGCAAATATTTAAAGTGGCTTCCCTTTCCCAGGTTGAAGCCCAGTAGGTACAATTCCCTTCTTCCCTTTCAGAAAAGCTGCTCCTCAGCTGCAAACCCCTGTGCCTCCCCACTCCCTACGCCCCTGCCACCTTCCCCTTTGGAAAACAGACTCTCTGTTCCCCTTGTGATTCACACCCTGTCTGCTCTTTTAGGTAAAATGAAACCAAGTTTAAAAGAAACACAACCTTCATGTCTTCTGATTCCTCTACAATGGCAAGAACAATACAAATTAATATCTTAATAAGTTATCCTGCCAAACTTAAGGCCCCAGAATAACACACGGAGCCCCGAGGGTCTCCACTCTCTCCCAGAGTCCCCAGCTGTGGCGACAGGGTCCGTGCAGGTGCGTCAACAAAGGAAGCAGCCCCTGCGGAGGACTCTCAGGCCCTGCGGAACCATGTTGGGGGAGCCCTCCCTCTCGACCTCTCAGCCTTTCGGGGGCTGAAGCAAAGAAAGAACATGCTGGGCCTCTCTCAAGTCCCGTTGGCCATTCTCCTACCTCTGGACACAGGGGCCCCTTTGCCAGTGTGGGGAGTCACCACTTGTGGGGGCTAGAAGAGACTTGAGAAACTACCTCATCCCATTCTGCTGTCTTAGGCCACAGGGAGTGAAATCCAGGAGGGGGGAGTGACAAGCCTGGGTTGATCAGGGAACTAGGGCCAGACCACGAACCAGGACTCGGGTCTCTGAATTCCGCTGTCAAATTCCAATTTTCCAATGTCCCTCTTTAAAGAGACCTTGGAGGCTTTAAAGGACCACTTTCAGTTTCATTCATTCCTTCAACAGTTTCCAAGCACCTGCTATGTTCCAGACACTGTTCCAGGAACTGACAGCGCAGCAGTGAATGCGGCGCAGAAAATCCTCATCCTTAAGGAGACTTCATTCGAGGGGCAGGAGACAGACAATAAATTGAAGTTACTAGAAAGATACCGGGTATATCTCCTCTGTGGCTGCATGATATGGACAAAAAATAAATAAAGAGGGGAAAGCCAGTGCTGGGGTGGAGGGGTTGCAAATTTTAAATAGGGTGATCAGGAAAACGTCAGTGTCTCTATCTGCAAATGGGAACAAGACCATCAATCGTATAGGATTGCTATGAAAATGAGGCAAGTTAAGCCATGTGAAAGGCCAGGCACAGTGAATACCACGGAGTTAATATTAAATATATGTTCATTATTATTGCTATTATCATATTACTAGCTGATATTTACTATCCAAATTATTTTGACGTTTATTTATTCTCTCTCTTTTGGCTCTGTCATTTGCTAGCATGGGAAGTGAATCAATCTCCTCTCCCTCAATATCAGTTTTCTCATCTCTCATGTGGTGATAATAATAGTCTCAACCTCATAGAGCTGTTGTAGGGACAACATGAGTTAATACTCACAAAGCACTCTGAGCAGTAAGTGCCACATGGACATCCTCTGTAGGTATCAATAAAGCCACCCTAGATCGAAGGCGCCAGGAGGGCAGAATCTCTGTTTCGTTCACCATCAAACCTCCAGGTAGACCAGTCCCTGGGACACAGCAGGCCCTCAGTGAATATCTGTTGAATGAATAAATTGCAAGTTTATTCTGTGGCTGTCACTATGAGGCAGTCGGGTCTCAATGGGAAACAAAAGGCACAAACTGGAATCCTTCGAGATGAGCTGATTCAAGAGTCTCTTGACAAAAATGTGGGCAGAGTGTAGGAAAATAACAAGGGGTAGTGTGACATCCCACGGCTGGTGACAGAGAGGCTGCCCTATCACCCCTGGGCTTGAAGGCCCAAGGCAAGTGAGGGGGCATAGGACCCCAGAGAGAACCCGTGCAGATGATCATCTGGCAGGAGCTTCGGCCTCAAGTCTAGGAACAGCGCCGACCCCCGGTGACCCCTCACAGAGAGAGTCGGGACAACAAATACCAGACCCCTCTCCCTCCACCTCTGAGCTCCTGCTGGGGCTCTGCCTTGGCCAGGCAGCCAGGAAAGCAGAGGCCATGGGAACTCATAGACTGGTCCACGGAGGTGGGCCTCCAGGGCAGACGGCAGAGCGAAGGGTGGAGAAGGGGTCTGGAGGGCTGAACAGGGACTATCCGACACAACTTTACACGTATTATCTCATTTAATCTTCATAATAATTTATGAAACAGAAACTTTTATTATTTGTATTTTAAATGAAGAAATGAGGGCCCAGAGAGTTCAGGTACCACACCTAGGGATGCACAGCGCTGAGCGCGTGGGGCAGGGCTCATGCCCGGAAAGCCTCGCTCCAAAGCCTACATCCTTAATCACCACCCACCTCTACTGCCCTTTAACCTCTGTTGCTACACCTGAGTCATGAGCAGCTCTACCCTGCTGGGGTCCCCACTCAGTCTGGGCAACCCTGACCAGGGACACATTCTCCAGGGGGATGGCACAACTTATGTTTATACTCTCACTTCCGGATTCTCTCTCTACTCTCTGCAGTTATGAAAAGCAAACGACATCCTTTTTTCACATGAGAGGCTTTGCATATTGATTCATCCCCCAGAGCATCCACTCGTCTGGTCTCTGGTCCCCTGGCCCCCATCTCTTGGTTACATTGACCTCTTCACATGTGTCCCTCAGAGCTGAACATACTCATTCTGGAATCGTGTCTTTCCCTGGTTACAGATCTGGGAGGTTAGATCCAAAGAGGGTGAGCGAGACTTCCTGAAAGTCACGTGTGAAGGCACACACACGCACACGCACGCACACGCACACGCACACACAGATGTCCTCTGCGCAGCCCTAGGGGCCCCACCTCACCTCCTCCAGCCTTCCAGCAGCTTCCACGCCTCCACCTCTTCAGCTTCCTCTTTGTGCACAGCTCTGGAGGAGGGGCAGCAGAGATGTCCTGCGGGTCCCCTAGAGGGACAGCCAGGCTGGGCGATTCTATTTACAGCCGCCGCGTTTGCACAAGTGGCAATCTGGACGGCCCGCTGGACTCTCCAGGATGTGAAGCTCTGGGAGATGCCAGATCGTTATCATTGTCAGATACAATTTCCTCCCACTGCCTCTGCCCCTGCGCCAGGCCCGTGGTGTCCATCTGTTTATGGAAACGGCGAGGTCCTGGCCGGGTATTTTTAGACGGGGCCTTTGTTGGGCAGGAGCGACTTCCCACCAGAACTGTCAGCCCCATCCAGCTTCTCCTCTTCATTTATTTGTCAGAAAATCTCTAATAATATATAAAACCACAATGCAGGGGCTGAAGGTCTCTCAGAATGTGGTGGGCGCTGACCTTCCTTCCCGGCTCCTCCTGCCAGGGTGGACTTTCCTGTTTTGGTTGGCTTCGGGGATTTTGTTGTTGTTGTTCTTTTTCTTCTCCTGTCATTCTTTTGAAAAAGAATAACGCGTAGCTCCTCCCACCTCCATTGAAAAATAAGCTTTATTTGAGGACTTCCTGGGGAATGGAAAATTGTGCTGCCTGCTGGTGACAGCTGAGTGTGGGGAGGACAGGAAATCGAATGAGGGGCAAGGGGAATAAACATCATCTCAGTGCCAACATGATCGGGGTCAATGACAGGCTACCAGTGACCGTCAGAAGAACCATCAGGACCGATCGGCATTCTACAGATGAGGAAACTGAAGCTCATGAAGAGAAAGGAGATCGTGGCACAGAAAGCACTTCCAGAGCATAAAGCCCCCAAAAGAGAGAGAGAGAGAGAGAGAGAGAGAGAGAGAGAGAGAATGAAACTGCGGTGTTATTAGTCCCCACTCGCTGCCACTGGGGGTGTCAGATGAGTTGTAGGCGTGTGGGGTTGGGGAGGCTGATATGAACCTGAGGTGGAAGGTTCAGAAGGAGGAGATGAGTTCAGGACAAAAGGAGCTGTCCATGGGGCCCGGGCGCCTGTGCTTCAGGGTGAAGATGCTACATGGGAGTAGCCTCTAGGGACAGGAGCCCTTGGGAAAGACAGCTGATGGGCAGGAGAGGGAGAGGATGGTCACACGTCAAGATAACCACTTGTCACGGTGCTTTATAACTCAATCATGTCTTGACTGAGACATTTACATGGTGTCCCCCACTCCCACCCCCAGCAGATCCTGGACAGTGTTCTTGGCTGAACCACTTTGGGAAATTGATTTTAAATTTTCTCATTAGGAAACAAACCATGGTGTATGCCTGGTTCCAAAGTATTTGGATGAAATTTAAATGATTTAAGTTATGAAAGACTTGGCTTCAATCAACTGCAGGGAGAAAGCAGTGAACGTGAAGCTGGCATTAGGAGAATGGGATTGCAGCCCCAGCGTGGCCCCAACTCACAGCAGGACATCGGAGAAGTTATTCCAGCTCTCAGGGCCTCAGCATCCTGTCCTCACCTTTTAAATTGTCTTTGTCTTAGCCAGGACCTAATAGCAAGTTGGGGTTGGAGTCCCTATCTCTCAACTGGCATTTAACTTTTTTAGTTTTCTAATATACATTGAAATAAAAGTCCCACAGGAGCATAGATTGTGCACAGGCCCTGGACTCAGAGCCTGGATTTGAAACCTGCCTCTGCTACCCACCAGCTCCATGGGCTTAGGCAGGTCACTGAACCTCACTGTGCCTCAGTTTCCTCCTTATAAAATGGACATGATCGTGGCACCTACTTCATGAGATAGTCATGAGAATTTAATGTTAATACGTCTAGAACCCTTAGACATGGTGCACAGCAAACACTCTGTGTTACCTAGAGAAATATCTACCTGCTGCCATCAAAAGTCACATCGGACACCCCCGAAGTGCAGGGAGCAATAAGCTCAGGGGCAGGTCCTAATCTGTTAGCAGCAATCAGGGGAGAGAAGTATGTAGTGTGGAGATGGGGTGGGCCTGGCTATGGATTTTGATGTGCTCATGGGCATCAGCCTGCTGTGTGTGGAGGATGGGAGCTGGGGGTGCCACCCCCCAAGGGCCGTGTGCCTCCAGAGAGGGTCAGCAGGCCCACAGGGCCATGCTGGACAGTGGATGCTGCGCATGAGAGCAGCACATGGCCATGGGCTCAGGAGGAAGTGTGATGTTGACAGCTGACATGGGAATCAGGAGACTCAGGCTCCACCTCTGGCTCCGGAGCTGTTAGTCACATGATCACAAACCATCCCCTCCCCTCTCTGGTCCCTATGCCAACCAGGTGGATGGATAGACAGTTGTCTGAGGTTCCTACCACCTGACATAGTACCTGTGCAGGACAGGGTCCAGACCTGTTCCAGCTCACCCACCCTTCTCTAAGAGATACAGGGGCATTTCTGAGCAGGCAGAGGAAGTCTGACCACATAAAGGACATGCATGAGCCCCCAGATCTCAAAATTCCCCTCTTCTTGAATCCAGGTCCTTGTTCTGTGACTGGAGCGTGGGAGGGAGTCATCTGGGCTTTTGATAGAGCCACTGCTCCTTCGCCCTTCTCCTGAGGACCATTCCCTTAGGAATGTCACCAAATGTACTGTCCCCCAACCTGATGGTGACCCACTAGCTGCATGTTCTCACGATGCAATGGTGCTTATTAAAATACAGATTCTTGGGCTTACTTGGAACCTACCAAATCAGAATTTCCAATGGCAGGACCTGGGAATCTGTATTTTAATACTCTCCCTTAGTTAATACTGATAGAGAATCTTATTTAAGAACTGTAGCTCCAAAGAATAACAGATTATATGGCCATCTTCTCACTTATAAGGTGCAGCAGGTCCGTGTGCATGCTCTGGGTGCAGCAGGGATGAATGGGGTCCACCCCTTCCTCTCAGGGGCATGCAGTGCACACAAGGGATGCAGGGATGGGGGACCCACACCCTCGGACGAGTAGTTACCTGGGTTTGAATCCTCACTCCACAAATTACCAGCTGTGGAGTCCCAAGGCCTCACCTCAGTTGCCTATTTCTGTAAAGTGAATTGAACACTCAGATACTCAAGAAAATGCAACAACTTGGTTCACTCAGCACAGGGTCTAGCACGCAGTAGCTACTTGGTTTCTAATGGAACTCCATCCGCCAGGATGCCACAAAGACAAAATAGATCTCTTATCAGGAGCTATTATCTCTGGTTGTCAGGGAGAATAATAGATTCATTTAGTTGTCTGAGAAAAGAAGATTTTGTTTTATATCCCATTGTTGAGCTGAAAATAAGATTCCATCCTCTGGGGACTTTGGGAGCTATTTGTTTCGGCCTTTTGGAGAGCTCTGGACCCCTGGGAGCCGCATGCCCTGGACACAGGACACCTTGCTTTCCCAACGGCTGTGCGCTCATCCAGGCTGCTCCTCCCCAGTGGGGGGGTCTGACACAGGTTGGGATAAAAGCCAGCATCTCATCTCTTGGGGACAATCAGTCCAAGATGCCAAGACAAATGGCCTTGTTGTTTGTTTGCTGTCGGGCAGCTAGGTCTATACTGTTACAAAGTGCTTTCCCACGCACGAATCCATGCCACCCTCGCCACCGTCCTGCGTGGCTCACAGCACAATGACATCAACAACAATGATAGCAATGACATCCACACCCCCCTCTCCCTCACCTCCTCCAAATCTTTGCTCAAATATCACCTTGTTGGTAAGGCCCACCCTACCCACCTTCCAATACCCTCCTTCCTTCTAGAAACCTGCTCCATTCTTTAGAATTTCTTTTCTCACCTGTAGCACCCATGAGAGTGCACCCCACAGACCTCCAGCTCCAGAAGGTAGAATTGGCCGGGGGCCCCTGCTCTACTGTGAAATCCATCGCTGCTTCGGAGCTGGGTCTCACCTCCCAAGAGCTGGCCCCGCCGACGACTGAGTACGTCATAGAGACCGGGACCCCTGGTGTCCAGCTTTGGCTGGAGGACTGATTCCCTGATTGCTTTGCCAAACCAGGGTTCCTCCACCCAACCTTCTCTCCTCTCTCCTCACTCAGGGTCATGTTCATGTGGCTGATGGGTGGCTCTCCAGAACCTTCTCTGGCAGCCTCCCCATTTTGCCTCCCACAGGCATTTCCTTTAAAGAACTCCTTGGATGCTCAATCCTGACCGGGTGTCGACCCAGACTGACACCCTGTAGCATCTGTCTTCTAACATACTAAACCTTTACCTGGCATATTTATTTGTATTGTCCACTCCCACTCACAAGAGGGAAGAAATTTTTTTAACTATTGTTTTCACTGATGTATCCCAGGCACCTAAAAAATGACATTTAATGAATACTTATTAAATAAACAATGCCTGTTTCGCAGATGGGAGACGAGGCTCTAAGAGGTCGAGTGCCTCTCCCTGGTGGTGCAGCCAGTGAGTGGCACGGCGGCCTTCGGACTTGGCCTTCTGACTCCAACCGCTGATCTCGTCAGTTCCACCACTCTCACCTCTTTCCTCTGGTCTCACGTCTCCATGTCTCTCTACTCACGAGTGTCTCGTGTGCTCGGCTGTGTGTGTGTCCCTCGCCACACTGTGGCTGAGGCGGACTGCTGCGCAACGGTAGTTAGAACATGGGACTCAGGCATGGAAGGAAGAAGGGATGCGGGGGACACTATAGCTGGTGTAAACGTGGAGGGCTGGACAGACCCCCAGGGTGGGTGGGAGGCCGCTGAGGCTGCAAGTAAGGAGAGATTATAGCACAAACACCCCTGGGCAGGAGTTAAATGACCAGGACCCCTCCTGATCCCCATTGGCTCAGTCCCTAGTCTCCAAGAGCATTAGTTGCTTCACTGAATTGTCATCTCCACCTTATAAATCCTGTCTCAACACTCTTCACAGTAGTAAAGGCTGAATGAGCTGGTGGCCAGCAGAGCACTTGGTAGGTAGAAACAAAAATAAGCATCCTCTTTAAGAGAGGATGTGCACAGATGGGTGGCGTGAGAGCCACACCGGGTCTGGGGCCATATGAGGGGTGATCCAAGGGGCCTTGAGGGCAGAGAGAAATACTTCCCTCCAGGCGGTGGGATTTGGGCAGCCACAAAGAATTTGCAGACAGTGAGCGTGGGAGAGGCGACAGAGCAGGTGCCAGGAAAGATGGGGCACCGCCTGCCTGGAGCGTGGGCTGGATTTCCGAGTGTCAGGGATGATTTATGTGAGGTCCTCCATGCACACCCAGGGTGGGGACGCTTTAGGCTCATGAGGACAGCAGATGGTGAATGAAGTCCCAGAGAGGCAGCCCCTGGGCTCCGCATTGCCTGCAGGGAGAGGGACCATCACCGGGCAGCGCTGTTAGAGCCTCAGCTGTGCAGACACTGGACATCGTGTCAGGGCTGGGAGGGGCGGGAGACGGTGGCCCCTACCCCTACCCAGAGCCCTCCAGACTCTCGCACTCTTGAGCCCTAAGGAGAGACAAGGGGGAGAATGTGAGACCTGGGTGTCCAGGTCGCTCTTTACAATCACGGAGGGTGATAAAATGCACAGTGCAGGCAATGGTCTCACCTCCGTCCCGCCCAGCCCGACACCTGCCAAAGGTCACAGCACACATTCTAAGGAACTTACAGCCACCTGGGAGCAGAAAGCTTCTGGCTCCACAGAAAACGCTCTTTCTGGGCCTCCAGGGAGTTTTTTGTTGTTGTTGTTGTTTTGTTTTTTGTTTTTTTTTTTGAGACAGAGTCTCACTTTGTTGCCCAGGCTAGAGAGTGCCAGGGCATCAGCCTGGCTCACAGCAACCTCAAACTCCTGGGCTCAAGAGATCCTCCTGCCTCAGCCTCCCAAGTAGCTGGGACTACAGGCATGCGCCACCAAGCCCAGCTGGTTTTTTCTATATTGACGACATCACTCAGGGGCTGCTCCAAGACCCGGGAGCCAGTAGTCGGGGAGACGGATTGTAAACTCTGCCAGCGACTTGCTGAGCGACGTGGAAGATAGACACACAGCCAAGCTGTCTCCACAGTGCCCCAGGCCACTAAGGAGGTGGCCCTCCTGCTCACCAGGTGTGAAAACACACCCAGTGCCCAGCACCGGCATCCTGAGAGCCTGTGGGGGGTGGAGCCCTACAAGGACGGAAACCCCAAAAGCACTGCTGCTAGGAATTGTCACTTGCTGGGAGGACTGCGGTGAGAAGATATGAGATCCAGGTGTGAAAGCACTTTGAAAGACAGAAAAATGCTGAGGAAGGTTTGCTTGTTTTCAGCTTTATGTGAATCTGGTGCCATGGGGCTCTGAGGACGCTGGCGCAGGTCAATATGAGGAGAGAGTTGGGGCCAGGTGACCCGAGCTTGCCTTCAATGTGGTGTGTATGTGGAGAAGCCGTGTCATCTTTCTGGGCTCTTCATTCCTCTGAGTCTCAACTTCCTCCGCTGTTCAATGCTAGAAGGGGCAGACAATTTGGGTATTCCTTGCAGCTCAGACATTTGGGGACCCTGATCATACAGCCCAGGTCACAGCGGGAGCGTCTTGCTAGCTTCCATGGCAGAAGGAGCACGAGGTCTTAAGAGACTCCAGGCCTGCCTGGGTTCTGCCACCGGCTCTCTGCAAGACTCTCTGGGCCTGATTTCCACCCTCTAACCACAAAGGCCATGAGGCTGGTGCTCTCCAAGTTCACTGCCAACCCCCACAGCCCAGCATTCAGTGGACCAACCCACCCTGAGTCAGGAGTGGACACAGCCCTGGGGGGAGCCCAGGCACAGCTGCGGGGAGCTCACGTCCTCCTTCACACTCTTACCTGGTGGCCGTGGGAGCCACGTGAGATGGCCAATGCCTTTGCCCATTCTTGAGTCCACTCTGGATTGGGGCACGTGTTCAGGCGTGAGGGAGGTGAACCACCCCTGCCCCTTCCCTGCCACTCCCCTTCTCTCCCTCCTGGCGTTCACTCCCAGGGGCCCACAACAGAAAACAGATGAAAAACTCCTTTCTCCAACTTGGCCACTCAACAGCCTGCTCCCTGCGGGGCCCTGGGGAGAAGGTCAAAGCCTCTTTCCTCTCATATGTGTCTTCTCTGAGGGTTAAAATAAAATAAATGGCGCTGTGGACTCAGGGACAGGCAGTGGAGGAAGCGGCACAGAGAGCTGGGCGGAGAGAGAAAGGGGACACTCTTTGTCCTGCAGATTCACCCAGGGGGCCATTGATGGAGATTTGAGAGGAGGTCCCAGCAGGTGCATGCACCTGGCTGGGCCTGGCCTGGGGCCTGCACTTCCTGGGCCTCAGCCACAGCCCTGGACCCAGGCCAGGACCACGGAGAAAGGACAGCATTGACCCCATCTCCAGCAAGGGGGAGATTCCCTCTGCTGAGCCAGGGACTCAGGGAATTAAGGGAGTGCTCAGAGCTCGCTCTTCAGCCTCTGCTTAATCACGTCCATTGACAGGGTGCTCACTACTTCACAAGACAGCAAGTTTCAAAGTGGGACAGCTCTGGGTTACAAACATTCCTCCACGGACTGAGTCAAAATTGCTTCCAAGGAGCCTGAGAAGTGCCCTCTGGAGTTCTCTAGAATTAGTTGTCTACGTGACCAAGACCTCCCTCCTTCCTCCTTCAGCACTGTGGTGGGACATGACCTGTGACCTGGAGATCCTTTCTCAGTAGCTCCATTTAGCTGCCAGGAGAACTCTGAAGGTGCCCTACAGCGCTGGCATTTCTAGCTCTACAAATGACCAAAAACATGAGGAGGGACACTTATTTAGCCCAAAAAGAGTGCAGCCCCCAGCCCCATGATCTTTTTGCTACCCCCACCCTTGTCTTGTTTTGTCCTCTCACTTCACTCAGAAAAGTCACCAGGGAGGGGGAATAATAGAGGGAAACAATGACTGAGGCATTGGAAGTTCTGGGTTCTGGTCCCCTCAGTCTGCAAAAATGTAACTAAAGAACAATAAAAAATGACCTTCGTAAGTATAGTAAATGCTGCCTGTCTGGCACTCTAACTCATGCTCCATGACCATTGGTAGGTTCTGAACCAGGATCAAGGTGTCTGGTAGACCTCTGACCTTCTAACTGGGAGGAGGTGGCAGTCACTAAGTCCCCCCCTGGAAATTAAGGACTGGACCCATGTCCACTGCCCCATCTAGATGAGGCCTGGGGGTCAGAGGTGGTCTCGGATCACGTGTGCACAGAGCAAAGCTGCCTCTTGGCAACATCCCAGTGTCCCCACGTTACAAAACAAGTAGCAAAGGGGACAGGCGGCCATGCTACCAGGAGGGCTCAGAAGGAGGACAGCCACTATAGGTATCTTGGAGACCTGCTGGGGTGCGATGTCAGTCTGCATGGGCCAACATATGCCATGGTAAAGCAGACAGCAGGGGCTGGCAAATCCAGAGCTCTGAAGTGACCTGGAGGCCAGCTGACCACAGAGCCACACTCTCTCTTTAAGACGCCACTCGGACATGGTTTACCTGATGGCGGCTTTATTTGCAGAGATCCTGGCTCCTGCTGGGCCCTCTTCTGCCTTCCTGAGCTATAGATGCAAAAATGACTCAGACTGCAGCGGTTATTTCCATCTAAGCAGCCTAAACTAAATTCAACGCACATACCACCACCCCAGCTCAATTCCCAGGGCCTTCCAGCCACTCCTAACCTACCCTGCCAGGCACTCAGAGGGACCCTCACCCTTCAAGAGGCCCTGCTTTAGAAGGCAGACCTGCGGCCTGGTCCCATGTGAGCACATGGCTGCGTTCCTGGGACCACACCACAAGTTCTGAAAGATCTTCCTGGTAGGAATGATCCTCCCATTGGCCGGTCCCAGTAGGATAAACAGTCACCCCTTCCATTTGTAAATGTGTTTTGGGGGGCCACCACACCCACTCGCTCAGCCCCATGGCTGGGTGTGCCCACTGTTCTTACCCCCATGACTCAAGCTTGGCAAATCAAAGTCATGGTGATCGGCACTGATGCAAGACAAGCCGAAGAGACTCAGGACAAGAGTCCTTGGGTGAAACTATTGCAAAAAGACACTGAGGAATGTGCACTGGGGAAGGGAGGCTGCCCTTACTTCCATGTTCCTGTATCTATTCCTTTGGGGCTGGAAGCTTTACGATTTCCTATGAATACTCCAGGAAACATAACACCCTAAACTTCAACAGGTTAAGCAGGGATTCATGGGCCATAAGCTGAGAACCTGACAGTGACATGGTATGGGGGTGACAACAAGAGCACCAAGTTAAGAAGGGAGGTAAAACACAGACACATTTCTTTGATTCTTCACAGTTCTATTATATTTCATCCTCCAAAAAACCCGCATATTTTCCAGTAGAGCTCTAGTGTTTGTTACAGTCTGTTTTTTTCTAATTCTTGGAAACGTGGTCACCCACATAGGGAATCCCTGACAACACTCCATTAGGCAGAGTGTCCAAGCAGCCCTAAGGCCCCAGGGATGTTCCGCTGAGAAGCGTAATGATGATGAATCCTTTCCATATTGTTTATGATTTAACAACTGGTTTATTATGTAGGATGTTCTGGGTCACTCCTGGGAAACTATTTAAACAAATAATCTGCAGTTAAGTGATCTAATAGAGCAAGTGTTGTCAGGTTCTTGGAAGAGCCCCATAATCTGAAGCTATTCATAGATTCTGGGAATTGGAAGGTCCTGTCAATATCTTCTAACAAGATCCCTTTGCTTTCTTAGTGTGCAAACCAGGGCCTAGAGAAGTTAGGGAACTTGCCCAAGGTCAAAATTTGCATTCTTCACACATATCTTTACCCCCAAAGGGATAATGTCATTTCTACCACATCTTCCAGGTGTGGTGGGAGGACATGTTTCTAGTGCAGGCTCTGACACCCAGCAGGGCATGACCTTGCGCAAGGGGCTGAACCTTTCTGAACTAAGTCCACCCTGAAGCCTCTAGGAGCCTGCCAGCTATAACAATGGCTTTGTGAAGTCATTTCCTGCAAAACATTACTGTAGCTTATGCCTCAGCTGTTGAGAAAAACCAACCTGCTGCCTTATCACAACGTTTTAGACCAGAGAAAGGGGAGCAGTCAAAGGCAACCACATGTTAGTCGAGGATCAGGAAGACCAATGACCTCAGGGATGAAATCCACCGGGTGAGCGCACGGGGACTGACAGTGTCTTTGGGATGCTCACATGCCAGGTGTGGTGGACTCTCCTGGGGATCTATGGAGTGTCTCTCATCCCTTATTCCTTCCTGGGAGACCTCAATTTTGTTCAAGTCTCCACTTATCTTGTATGCCTTCATGTGTGGGTTCTGAGTGCACCAACTCTCATCTCCCTGACCAGTGCTTGATTCAAGAACTCAGGTGTAGGCTGATCAGCACATCGAATTCCCTGGGCAATACTGTTTACCCGGAAGTGGGCACATGGCTTAAGTTGGCCAATCAGGTGGAGAGGAAGGGCTTTTATTCCATGCTTTCCCTATCTGTCCATATGTGAAATAAGAAGGCATTTGCCCCAGCTGCTGTGGACAGCCATCTGGAAACCATGAAGGAAGACAGCCTGAGCCACGACCAACCCTTCCAGGGGAAAGGAGTAAAGCAAATCACAAAGAAACTCATCCACATGAGCACATTTCACATGTAGCCCATCCTACCTCTACACTTTCTCTATGTGAAGTTTTAAATGTCTCTATCACTTAAATAGGTTTGAGACTCTTTTTATTTTTTTGCAGTTGGAATCCTCTTGACCTATGGGCTAGGTAAGTTAAAACACAAATATAAGAAGGCAAATCCCTGGAAATCATGTCAAATCCTAAATGACGTAGAGAGTTTACTCAGTGCTGCCCCCGCCGTCCTGAAAGCACAGGTCTGTCCCTCCTGCTGCTCTGCTTTACAGATCAGATTGCATGCTAGTCTGCATTCTTTTGTATGTCTGCAAGAAAGCCCAGGAACTGAAATGTGACCTAGTGTGTCTATTCTTACAACTTCTAAGAGCTTGACCAACACACTGTCTAATCTGCAGTTTCCATCTGTGAGAAAGCATTGGTGACACTTGTCCCCTTCACAGACCACCTAATAAGCCCACTGGTCATTTCCAAAACCTCATCCATTTTTCTTCCACTCATCCCATCTCTGTTGCCCTGGCCCTGTCAACAAAGAGCAGGGCCAGGTTTGGGGGAGGAGAGGATGAGAAGTGGATATGCAGGAGCTGCCCCCTGAGTAGGCACAGGCTTGCACTGTGGACAGGCCAGAGGCTCTGAGACACCAAGAAACTCACAGAGGTAGAAGCACAGCCCCTCTGCCTCCACCTTGCAGAATGCATGGAGGGCACTAGTTCTTACTGCATGTCCTCTGCCAGTCCTTTATGCCTCTGGAACTCCATGCATTCCATTCTAGGGGCTAAGATGGTACTGGAACCCAGCACCATCTCTGCTCCTTCCCTCCCTCGAAACTTCCAGCAAATAGAGGCTGGGTCAGATTCTGAGCAATGGGACCATCCCTGAGTAGAATGGAGACATCAGATCACATCGTGTGAGCCTCCTGCTTCCCAGAACCACGACTTCACCACACAGCATTTCATCCAGGGCCTGGTCAGCAGCTAACACAAAGGGCAATCGAGTGTAGAACAAGAGACCAAACAGTGAGCCGGACGGAGCCTGCACATAGGCCTCCCTCCCTTCCCCCAGGATGCGTGAGGCAATCACTCTTCTATGACTGTCAGGACTCCATCCCCAAAGTATTTTTTTATTCCCTTGTGTCTTAGTCCATTTTTTCCTCCTATAAAAAATTACTACAGATTGCACGATTTACAAAGGACAGAAATTAATTGTCTCACAGTTCTGGAGGATGAGAAGTCCAAGGTCAGGTTGCCAGTTGGTTTGGTTTCTGGTGAGGACTCTCTTCCTCTCCATGTCCACACATGGTGGAGAGGGAGAGAGAGAGAAAGAGCCTGAACTCTTACTTTTAGAAGGAACCTATCCCCACCACAATGGTGAACCCACTCCCACAATAACAGCATTAATCCATGCACTCCACCCTCATGGCATAATCACTTCTCTTTAGGCCCCGAGTGCCAGCATTGTTACAATCCAACCATAGCACCTTGGGGCAAGATATGACAGCATTCAGATGCTTTATCTGGAAAACAATGAGATTGAAGCAGAGAACCATGAAAGCCACCCCAGACCACATATTCTTGGCTATAACGTCTTCTAGAAAGGAATTCATGAGACTCCTGGAATTTAAGGTCTGAGCCAAGTATCTTCTCTTCAGCCTTAGTGTCCTCAGCTGCTCTGTGGAGCTCTACCTGTTTTCAAGGTTTGCCCAGAATCAGAGAAGAAGAGTGAACTGGAGAAAATGAAGCATAATCACTTGTTTCATTTTCATATACTTGAATAGTATGGAAATATTTCCTGGTGTTTCCCCATTTAATCTCTCTCTCTCTCTCTAGCTCTCTCTCTCAATATCTGTCTTTCTCTTAGAGCATGGGAAGGAATGACTTCCCACCCCTGGTTCTCCTCCCTGTTTTATCTCTAGTCTCAGCATTCTTGCAGATTTGTGGGACCTCTTTCCAGGGGTCTACCCAGTTGAGAAAGAACTCAGCCCTTCAGGAATTATCCCAACCTGCAAAGAGCAGTCTACACTGTGGCACTCTGGGAGTGGTGACTTAGATACTGTCTTCCCTCCCTCACCCCCCCACCCCCGTCTCCCACCCCAAGAGCAGCTGCTCTGGTATTAAGGCTGGGCCTTGGCAGTTCAGCTGCAGGTCACAGCATGGCCTCCACATACCCTATGGGCCACAGAGGTCCCCAGCCAGGCCTTCCCGCCTGCCTGTCGGGAGTGAGGGGGACAGCAGCCAGCTCCACCTGGCTCCTGATCTGCCTTGGAATGCATGGGCAAGGGGGGTGAAATGGCCCACGGGGCTGAGAAAACGTCAGCTCCTCTTCCCATTTTACGCCTTTCTCCCTTTTCAGCTTAGCAAACTGAAGTTCAAATCAGGGTCAGGGAAGGGGGTTTGTTCATAGGGCTCAGGTTTCAGACATAGGAGGAGCTGGGAGGCAGTTGTTGAGCCTATGTTTACAGGCCTCATAGGTCTGTAGGACTCTTTCTCATCCCCCCACTATCAGCTCCTGAGCACCTACTATGTGCCAGGCTCTGTGCTCTAGGGCTGAGGATAGCAGGGAGAGCCCAGTGGAGCCCACAGTGAAGGCACAGAAATATTAATGGTGACAGTGGTGCTAACAGTGGCTTGAGGACTGTGCGAAGGACTGGGAGAGCTCTCTGAAAGATGACAGCAGCTGTGCAGCACTTCAGGGCTGTGCGCCATGCAAAGGCAGAAAGGTCAGAAAGTAATGCCCGCTTGCAGCTGGAAGCAGAACCAGCTTATATACGAGACATCATTTCCTAAGCAATCCTTGCCTTGCTCTGACTAGAGTCAAACTTCACGTCTTGTCTCCGTGGATGGACTCACTGCTGTGTGCGGGGCATGTGGCCTGTGGGGCCCAACATAGCTGCAAGGTTGGCCTGGGGCAATAATTGTCTTTATTCTTTTAATCAGTCATTCAAACAATAAACGATTGTATACGGTGCACCAATGACTAGGCTTGGTTTAGCAATTGGATTTTGTTTATTTTGTTTATTTGATTGTAGCGCCATCAGACTGCAAGTTTCATGAGGGCAAGAGACCAGGTCTGGCTTGCTCATCCTTATATCCCTAACCCCAGCACAGCACTCAGCACGTGTAGGTTCTCAGAAAATATTTGTTGAATGTGTGAAAGAAACGACATAACAGCTGTGGACACTTACAAAAGTACTAGTAAAATTGTGATTGTAGGCAGTTGTCCCTGGATTTTTTTTCTACTTTCCCTAACTATATCATAAGCAAACAGAATCCATATATATGGTGGGCATGAACAGGGAAAATGGGATCGAATATTTTTAACTGGAAAGTTCCTGAAAAAAAAATTTAGACATATAATCATAGAACATAATCCTCTTCCTTCTTCCTGGCTTCTCCTCCTACCTCTATGCCTAGCCTAGCTTGGAGATCATTTTCACCAATTCTTGCCAATGTATAAAAAATGTGGTGAAGAGTGTACAGGTAAGGACTTAAGAGATAATCTCACTAAAGAGGTGTCTGTATTTCAGTAGAAGGCTCTGAAATTTAACAATTTAGCCAACTTTTAGCGAAAGTTGCAATTAATTAAGGTATCATACCAGTTATTAGGAAATCAAAGATAAATATCTTTCTAAGGATAAACTAAATTACACAAAAATATAAAGCTGAATATTAAAAGTCTAAGAAAGCTACAGAGGAATTTAGAGGAGGGAAAGCTACAGAGGAATTTAGAGGAGGGAGAATCTAGGATGTTCTCAGGGAGCAAGTTGGCACTGAGATATATCTTGCTGGGGTTTTGTGCAGGCAAAGATGAGGACGGGCACAGCATTATAGGTGGAGGAAATGCACAGTGAATTTTTCCTTTCAGCTGGGGCTGGAGCTCAGAGCACACATAGGGGACTCAGACAAAATGTCAATAAGAACAATAGCTAATGTTTATTGAGCTCTTAATATCTAGCAGGTAGCCTTTGTTTAACCTTGATGACTCACTAAGTAAGTAAGGTAATGTTTCTGCTCCCATTTTACAGATGGAAGAAACTGAGGCATGGAGGAGTTAAATAACTTGCCCAAGCTTATATCCTTATTAAGTGGTGAAGCTAAGGTATGAATTCAAACTATCTGAACCACCGTGTCATAACTGCAGCACCAAAAAGCGAGGGGCTCTGCATGCAAGACTGAAGAGTTTGAACTTAATTTTATGACCTTTTGAAAGACACAATCAGTGAGATGCCAATATTAGTTTAATATCAGTGGCCAGAATGGCTTAGAGGAGAGAGAAACCCATGCTGATTATTGCCCACTGCCTGTCTCCTCCATGCAATTCACCAAACCTTGGGACCTCGGAGGATCTTAGATATAGAATGGACTTAAATAGCCAAGTCAAAATGCCTTTCTTATTCAATTCCCCATACTTACTCATTGACAATGGATGTGAATATTCCTCTGTAAATCTACACCTCCATGCCCCTCTTCACTGGGACTCTAATGCCCTGCTTTTCTAAAGCTTCAAAACATCTTAGTGTCAAAAGCTCTTATAGTCAATATGACTATTGATTCAGGCTATATTTCTCAAACTGTATTCCAGGGAATACTGGTCTTATGAAATGCCACCCCCGTCCTCGACTCTCCAAACAAGGATTCTGTAATGGTCAAATAAGTTCAGGAAGCCCCTATACTATACTGTCCACCCCCTGGAAGAATGACCACAAACAGCTATGTATGAAAAGTTCTGACGACTCCCATAGTGAAGAAACATGCTTAACTTTGTTTAACCCCCATGTTCTCCAAGTTCATTTAACCAGAAGATGCTGCATGCATGCACCATCTATTAGCCACCCAAGGCACAGAGGTCAGCAGGAAACTCCCGGGCGAAGCTGCCTTAGGAAACTACTCCCCTCACTCTCTTTGTTGTCAATGTAATTCTTGGGAGGAATAATAATAGCTTCTATTCATTTAACTCTAGGGTTTCTCCGAGTGCTTTTACAAATATCATCTCATCTTATAATATTTGAAGCTTCAGCCCAACAAATCTTTCAAATTCCTTCTTTGAAGCAGAGTCTTGAGGGATTACAATTGTGTGGGTATATCTCAGAAAGTTAACCCCCGTGTCTATCTCTTTTTCAGATCAGAAGGGTAAAATTTTCTACTATTAAAAAAAAGAGAGAGAAATCCTTTTCTCCTAACAGATTTTATCAGGAATTACTTAAAATGTGCTTATAATAGTAAATGTCAAAGAGTAACACTTCTCAACTCCCTCAAGAGGTCCCCTCCCAGCCATTTACTCTGATACTAACTGCTTTCTGTTAAGTATTACTTTATGAGGAGCACAATTAAAGTAAAACATTTTAAAAGAAAAGGAGGATTTTTAAGTAGAGCATTCTAATGGCTAAATGACTTTCTCTCTCAAAAATATTTGCCTTCAAAAACAGAGCAAAACCGGAGGCCAACGCTTAACCCAAAGGAGTGACTCTGTATTGTCAGACTTCTGGCTGTAAGGGGAGTATTTGGGGAGGAGAGGAATGTCATTTTTATCCCTCAAATCACCTCACAGACGCAACTGCTGTCTCTGTCCACCACGTTTGTTCTGATCATTTCTGATCATTCCTACCCCTTCTGTCTCCTTCTGAGTTTCAGGAATGCATGGACATTAAAATTTGAACCGATGTGAATCTCGGCTCCATCACTAACTCATGGAGAACTGTCTCCAAAGCTACCTTTTTCTCACGTTCTTCGTCACTAATTATAAAGTCACACTGTCTGTCGACACCGATGTTGCGAGGATGAAACTGGAACACATGCGAAGCATCTAGCACCCGCCCGACACATAGCAGGTCCCCAGTAAGTGTCAGGATATAGAGCAACGTTTCCCTTGGCAAACTGTAGGCAAGAGAGGCGACCAGCAGCCAACTGTTATGCCTCTTCCATTTCTGCTTAATGTTGCAAAGAGGGTGAAGCTTTGTCTTCTCTCCCCGTGGAAACCCGAGAGGAGACTGCAGAGGGCTGTTGGCTCACCACCCACCCCTACCTCTCCAGCACTGAACTCATTCATTCCACAGTGACAGCCACCCTGGGCCCCATTCGAAGGTGCCTGACCCTTGGAAAGGGAGGCCCGGGGTGCACTCATTACTTCTCCTTCGCAGCTGTGGCCACAAAACCGTGCAGGAGAGTGGGGCACTGAGAGAGATTTAGCAGACCGGGATGGGGGCAAGGGGCCAGGAAGTGAGCATGTTCTCAGCCAAAATGCCAAGTTCAGTAGCTTGAATAAAATCCATCCTAACCTCCAAGGCCCAGAGGTCACCATCTGGAAATGGAAAACAACCACCAATAAATTGTTGTGGGCTGCAGTACCACCGGATTTCAAAAGAAGCTGGACTGCCTGAGCCAGGCTTGGCTTCTCCCTTTGGCTGCCCCTGGCCTCTCCTCTTTGAAAGGATAAAAGGCCTTTGGTCCCGAATCGTGACTGAATGCACTGGAAGCAGGGGCAAGTTGCTGGGACAAGGGTGGAGTTGCCCCTGACACCTCTGTTCAATAGCTTGACACCAAGGCGCGGGGCCAGAGCCCGTGGGTGCTGTTTTGCCCCCACCCCCAGCTTCTCGGAGGCTGGCAGCTATGAGGGCAAAGCTGGCAGATCAGGAAGCACCTGCATCTGCCACAGGCCCCTCTGACTCCCCCAACCTCCAGCCCGCACCCCTCTCCTCCCCCTGCAGCCCCCGAGGAATCTTGCACAGGTGGTCTGAGGTGTCACCTGCAACCAGAGTGCTGATGGGCTTCTGTCTGGCCTGCTGGGCTTTGCACGGTCCCTGAGTCCAGTCACCCCAGGCCCCACCGGAGAGCTGACAGGCCTGGTGTGGCAGACATGAGGACAATGGGCCTGCTGGCCTGAAAGCATTCCAGTCTCCCACGTTCGGGAGGAAGGGGTGTGTGGCGGGGAGGAAAGGTCACTAATGCAGACAGTTTATGTTTTCCCAAGCCAGCATTCCTCACAAACAGCTGTGTTTATACAAAACTGGAGGAGAGGGAGAGAAAGAGGAGAGAAAGGACAGTGTCCTGGGGATGACATCATTCTGTCTTGTCTGCCTAGACTCCCACCGCTGGGGTTGGGGTAGGGGGCCAAATGGCGGCAGGCTGGAGAACGTGCTGGTGGAAGGACATGCAGGGTTTGGACGTGAGCATGTTTATTAGATATGTAATTTTCCTACTCTCCGCTCTTTTCCCACCACGCTCGCTCCCAGAGCATCCTAATACATTTTGCAGAACACTATTTTCCCTGTAACAGCAAGCTCTGAGGAAGGCTGGATGCAGGGGCTCATGTTCACCCCTCCTAATCTCTTTAACAAACCCCCATCCCAGAAGCAAAGCCTGACAGGAGGCAGAGTCATTAAAGTGAATTAAAATGCATCCAAGGAGAGATTAGCCCCCAAAGCCATTCCCATATCAGACAAAGGCCCCTTTCATGCAGACTCCAGCCACTTGGAGTCCTGTAAGCAGAGATTAGGGAACAAATTCCCAGAACCTAGAAGCACTGGCTCTTTGGGACGTGGGCCAACACTTACCCCCCCCCTGGCTAGACCTCAAGAACTCAGCTTCTGCTTAAGCTACACTTGGGCTTCTTAAGGCTCAGACTGCAAGAAAAAGGGGGTCCACAGGGACATATAGATCCACCTCCTTTGGTTGAGCCAGGTCTGTCCCTAACAGAATCCAGATGACAAGGCCCTCACCTGTTCTCAAACTCTGCCAGAGGACGTAATGTGATGATTCCCCAGCCTCCTGCATCGGGATCTCAGGTAGGAGGTCCAGCCACCAGCAGTCTAAGCATAGTCCCTTCCCACTCCTATCTGCAACTGTCATATCGAGCACCCCTTTTGTGCCACACTGGACCTTACAAGATGTGGGTGCAAAGAGATGAGCAGGATGGGATTCCCGCTGTCAAGGCAACCGTAGAGGATGGGACCTAATGGGAACATGCTTCCCTTACTCAGAACCTAGCTGATCCATTGCCTAGGACCCACTTGGTAAAACCTCTTTGTTTTGGGTCTCCCTCCTTCCTTGCTCTGTCCTCCTTTTCTCTCACTTCCTGCTGGAATTACTTTCCCAAATAAGCTATTATCCACACAAGTGTTGGTTAATATTATGTGTCAACTTGTCTAGATCATGGCACCCAGATATGTGGTCAAACATTATTCTAGATGTTTCCATGAGGGTATTTTTTGAATAAGATTAACATTTAAATCAGTAGACTTTGAGTAAAGCAGATTTCCCTCCATACTGTGAGTGGCCTCATCTAATTAGTTGAGGGTCCCAATTCTACGAAAGACTGACCTTCTGCAAGCACAAGGAAACTCTGCGGCAAGTGGCACTCAGACTTGAACTGCAGCATCAGCTCTTCCTACGTCTTCAGCCTGCTGACCCGCCCTGCAGATTTGGACTTGCCACTCTCCATAATTACATAAGCCAACTCTTTAAATTCCCTTATATATATTTATATGTGCACACACACACATGTATCCTATTGATTCTATTTCTCTGGAGAACTGTGACTAAGACAATTCATAAATATTTGTCTCGGGCTCTGCGTTTCGGAAAACTCAACCTAAGGCAGGGAAATGTTGAGTTTGAGATTACTCTGGGACAAGGAAGTGAAGACAGATATCCAATAGGGAGTATCCACAAGAAGAATGTGGACTTAGGACTCACCCGCACATCAATGGTACCTAAAGCCAGGAGAATGGCTAGAGTGAAAAGAGACATGGCATGGACCCTTCAAAGGCTCTAAAACACATTAAACTCGATTCCTTGTCCTCACTCTCAATACATTAACTCTGCCTGTTTGTACAAACTTACTCAAATATTTTGAGAGGAGAGAGGGGGAAAAAAGAGAAAATTTCACTAAAATAAATAAAAGTATCATTCTACCCATAAAGAACGAGTACATATATGGCTCTTACTGGGGTCACAGTTTCAACTTGAGATGTTGAAAAACAATCGCACTCTTACACCCCATCCTCCACCTGATCTCGAACTATCTGCAACCATGATACTACCACGGCCACACGGGGCTACATTTTCAGTCCTCACTTCTTTTCTATATTAGCCACACCACTCCAGTCTCCAAAGCAGGTGGAAGGGAGGGCTTTCTCTCCTGGAATCAAATTCTTTTTTTTATGTTAGACCAACTCCTACTCCAAGGCTTCTCAATGGATGACCCCGTGGAGCCCTGGAACGTAACTAGTGCGGGAATGAGAACATTGCGGTTCTAGCCTTGGCTCCAGACACTGAGTCGCTGTGCACCCCTTGAGCGTGTTACTTCCCCTCTCTGGCCTCAGTCCTCTCATATAGACAATATTAATAAAAAGGGTTGAGCCAAACGCTCTTTAAGATCCCTTTTATACCTAGCATCCTGGCGTCTGAGATGCAGCATGCTTCCTCCCACCAGACCACCTCTTTCTGAGAAGCTTGTGGGAACACCCCGTGTGCCCTGCGGGACACCCAAGCCAACACACCCCACTCACTTCTATGGCCGCCGCTCCGAGGTCTGTGTCCACTACAGTACCCACCCCCTGCCTGGTCTTGCCTCCTCCGTCTTCATTTTCACCTGGGAAGGAAGATTCCAGAACAGGTTGTGGATGTAAAAACTCAGAGAGAAGGGAAGGACAGCAAGTATCCCAATGAATATTTAATAAAAACTTCCACCAACCTACCCCTTTAAAGAAATGGAAAAGCTATTTGTCTTTGAGATTTTCCTTAGCTACTTCATCAGCCATCAGGGAAAACCCTTTTCTTATTTAGTTCTTAGAGGAATCTTGACTCTCTTTCATCTTTTAATTATTTGTACTTATTTTCACATCTGTGCACATTCTGCAGCCTCCAACAGTTTTATAATGCTTATGCCGCAAAAACACTGAGGACCTTATATATTCCCAAGCCAAGAATCTCACTGGTAACGTTCAGAGGGGAAAGATGCCATTCCTTCCAGGATCGTGGCTTGTTCACACAGCCAGCCCCAGAATGTGTCCAGAATCAAGCCAAGGAATCCATTGGCCCCTGATCTCTCCTTATAAAAGCGCACACCTCACCCAGTTTTTGTCTATTTCAGCCCCCTGCTTATTTCCTTCATTGCACCTATTCACAGATGTTTGCATTTCTACTTCTGTCCCACTGTTTACTATCTGGCTTCCCCACTGCACTGTGAGATCCTTCCAGAAAGGTGCCCGCTGCACCCTCTGCATCCTCAGCTCCTAGCCAATGTTTGGCATATAATAAATGCTCAGTGAATGCTTGTCAAATGTGGACTCATAGCACAGCTGGACCAAAAATGTAAAGGATTAAGTCTTATGGCAGAATTAACAATCCTTAAGTTTCAGCTGTCCTCTTCCTTAAAGACCAAGAAAATGAAAATAGGCTGAAAAGCATCCGTGTCTGAGGGCCATGCCACACTGGAGCAAGTGGAAATAGAAGGAAAAGCATTGGCCTAAGAGCCAGAAGTCCGGTTCCAATACCAGCAATTTCTTTATTAATGTATGACCTTCAGCAAGCATCCTACCCTCTCTGAGCCTCAATTTCCTATAAAATAAGGAAATTGCACCTGATCAGCATTTTTTCAAGGTTTTTTTTAGCAGTAGAACATAATTTATACAGCAGATTAAAAGTACCATTTTATTAGCATAAAACATTTCTTAAGTTCTAATATCTGATATTTACTTGATATTTACATGAATAGTGAGACTAATGAGTGTGTTTCCATGAATACAAAAATATCAGGTCCAGAACTAGTGGTAAAAGCTGACATCTTGTTTTAAACTTAATTATACAGTCTCAAAATTCAGATTCACACAGATAAATAGTTTAAGAACAGGCCAGGCGCGGTGGCTCACGCCTGTAATCCTAGCGCTCTGGAAGGCGGAGGCGGGAGGATTGCTAAAGGTCAGGAGTTCAAAACCAGCCTGAGTAAGAGGAAGACCCCATCTCTACTAAAAATAGAAAGAAATTAATGGGTTAACTAAAAATATATAGAAAAAAAATTAGCCAGGGATGGTGGTGCATGCCTGTAGTCCCAGCTAGCTACCCAGGAGGCTGAGGCAGGAGGATTGCCTGAGCCGAGGAGTTTGAGGTTGCTGTGAGCTGGGCTGATGCCACAGCACTCTAGCCTGGACAATAGAGTGAGACTCTGTCTCAAAAATGAATAACTAAATAAATAAATAAGAATGGTTATTGCTCAGAACAATAGGTCTGATTTCCAAATATGAGCCTAAAAGAGATATGCTGGAAAGACAGAAGGCAGTTGCCTATCTGACAAGCCCATTTCTTCTTCTTCCTGGGCAGGTAGACTACATTTCCCAGAGTCCCTTGCTGTTACATGTGGCCACATGACAGATTTCTAGCCAAGAGCAGATGAGTGGAAAGATGGGCACCACCCCTAAGGAATCTCTGACACCCCATCCTTCATGTTCTTTTTCCTTCTGCTGCCCAATACGGAAGGATCACAGAGAACCCAGAAGTCCTGAGTGAAAGATGGTGGAGCCTCAAGGTGGGAGGATCCTGTTACCCCATATCTCTGCTTGAAGGACAGCTGCCCAGTGTTCAGGAGCACCAACTTTAAGCTTTATTCTATTACAGTATTTGAACCACTGTGTAAGCTTTTACAACAACTAACATTATCCTGATAACCTGGCAACACAAATTAACTCTCTGGAGTTCTCCAATGCATTAAAGTATGGTGTCTAACATATGCTGCTTTTATTAGAGCTTTTAAAAAAGTTTATATATAATTTTAGCATGAAATATGAATAAGATGTCTGTGATATTCCTGAAACTCCTTCATGAGGCCCCATATTTTCATGAAACATAATCAAAAATCACTTGACTAGATCCTTCCAAAGATCCTTACCAGATCCAACATCTTATTGTTGAATATATTTCTGATTTTTCAAAGAGAATTTGTATTGGTCTTTATAATGAGGAAGTGAACCTCTTCTGCCTTTGAAATAAAACAGCATCTAAGAAATGCCAAGGGACACACATGATATTTCTAGCAAAACTGTTGAATATTTAGGGGAGCAGGCCCTGCTTTCAAGAACTTCAGTTCTAGAATCTTATTTCTCTAAGATGTAGTAACAGCCATGCTAAAAATCGCCCAAATTCTCTGTCAAGCAATGATGTAAACTGGAAGGTCCCTCAAAGCAAAGTCAAAATTAAAGTGATTTTTTTCATGTTTTCTGCTTATATCCCAAAGCATTTAAAAATGGCACTTTTATTAATCTCAAAATTACTAACCAAACAAAAGCAGACAAGACTGTTTTCTTTTGTCCAGGAGCAAGGGCGATGGCCACAGTGACCTGTGCAGCAGGCAGTCACAGCATAAGCAGATGCCATGCCCAGGCATAGATCAGCATCTCAACCCAGCCACAAGGAGGCCCAGCCCTAAGCTAGAGGCCAGACTGATCCAAGGACTTTTTCTAGAAGCACAGGGAGGATAGTCCCTGAATGGGACAAGGAGAGGACGTCAATGAGGGAAGCTTTGATGTATGTCCAAGTTTCCCAGGATCTAAAATTATCTCAATAATGTTCACCTCTGAGGACAGTACTATGCTATTCATCTACAGAGAATTGAAGGCCCTCAAGAACTTCTGATCATCATTACCCGCCAAGCCTGGGAGCCTTGAAGGGAGGCATTACCCTACGGGGTGAGGAAGACATTCAAACAGACTTTGGATTCGGGCATGTCTGAGTTTGAAGCCAATGCCTTGCTGCTGCTGCTGCTGCTGCTGCTGCTGCCATGTGACCTTAGGCAAGTTATGTAACCACCCTGACCCTGTTAGCAGCTGACAATGTACAAATGGCAACTTGAGATGAACTCCCTGTTCACATCCGCCCAAACCCGAAGCCTCATGCCCAGACACAGGCCTCTGATTCCTACTCAGCCCCATGGGTCTAAAGAATCCTGCTAAGCTCTATGCCTCCTGGAAGGAGGGGCTGCCCTGTCCCTGCAGACCAGAGACTCAGAAGCCACTCCAGGTCCCTGCCCAAGTTATGTGGTGGAAGGGGAGGGACTGGTTTTCTGTTTTTCTTTCTTTTTTCTTTTTGTTTGTTTGTTTTTCATTTGCAAAACATTTGAGAAGCTTAAGGAAAACAATCTTTGTGAGCCCCTATGAAGATGTAACTCTAGATGGCCTCCCAGCTGGGCCAGGCCTGCCAAGTGTCAGCCTAGAGACTGCAAAGTGAAGGAGGATTTCTGCACAAAGGAGGCATGGGTCTCTGGGAGCAGATGATCAAAGGTTGAACCAAAAATAAGCTTGTCCTAGTCTGAATGCTAGGACAGGCAAAACCAACCCCCAGTACTTAAGGGCTCCCATCTCCTGGGCCAGACAGGCAATGGCTCCCAGACGGAGCTTGCTGCACGGGAGAGTATATCCAATGGCATCCATCCGTCCTCCATTGCAGGCCACAATGTGGGAAGACAATCTGGGGTTGGTGACAGGTTGGCGTTCTGACTTATCCATCCTATTTCATTATGCCTAGGGCCCAAGGCATGATGACACTGGAAAAAAGTGACTTAAGGCATTCTCCTTCCAGAGGGATTATATCTATTTCTGTTTCTCAAGATCGTCCCCCTACTGGACTCAATTTGTTTTCTCTGCAGATTTGCTTGGCCCCACCTGCCCCCGGACCTCAAATGCTCACCCAGTAGAGAGTCTCTGACGCTGCCATCACCTCATCTTCTAAAACTGCTGGCCATCTCTGTGTCCCCCGAGAGTAGGGCAGCTTCCGACATGCCTGTCTCGGTGAGAGCCATCACCCAAGTCTCACCCAGACGGATTCCTGGTGGCTTTGGCTTTCCCAGCAGCTGCCTGAAAGGGCCAACCCTGAATGGTAGGAAGCAAAGAATGGGAAAGATCCAGCAAATTCTTCTTCCTTCCTCCCTACTCTTCCAAAGGTCTGTTCTAAGATGTTCCAAGACAGTTCCTTATACCCTCTCCAAGGATTTCCCATGTGACCAAACAACTCACTGGGTGTCTTCTTGCAAGGCCGTGGCCAGCTCTGTGACACGCCACTCTGCGTGTTCTCCCCTCCTTCCTGCTTCATCTTGTGTGTCCCTCACTCCTGCTGCCCTAGGGTTGCACTTTTCTGCAAAATGTTAGCACGTTTGCCTCCAGCAAACTCTGTTCTGAAGAACTGAGCCTGAGACTGCCTTCGTTATGGTTCTCTCTCCAGCTGGAGGCCCTAACATAGGCAGACTGCCCACCTCCAGCCACTTAGCTACTGTGTTTCCTCCCTCTTTAAATTTGTGTCTCCCAAATGGAAGATTTGAAAGTGGGGTAGTATACCTCACCAGCTGTTAACACCAATTATAGTTGCTTTATTTCCATTTAATTTATTTTTGGCTTATACATTGAGCTTGGAGTTTTAGGATGCCCTTGGCTGATTTATAAAAAATAAAATATAAATCCACACATACACCTTTCCCAGGATCTGGAGAGAAATAAAATCCTAGTCATACAGATCCTGAGCAAGCATTGCAATTCTACAGGAAAGTTGACCCAGACCAATAGTTTCCACCATCCAAGTTCACCCAGGGGTAGCATTTCCCAAAGTCTGATCCAGAGAACACCAATTGTGAGGGATCAGTAGACATTCCACAAATTAAATGATTCTGTTCTCAAATACACATGGGTCCCTCAAGGTTAAACAAAATTACATAGTTCCCCTTATTTTATGGGATTTCAAAGACATTACTATAGTATTGTATAGTGTTCCTTTCCAACAGAGTTTGCAGCACTTATAGAATTTATGGGGGCACATCTTTTTTTCCAGAGAACCTCATAGGATTGATGCTACACAAAATACTTAGTTTCTGGGGTTATCAAGGTGGCAGAAATTCCAGAAGTACCAGCCCCTGGGAAGAAATCTCTCTACAGACTTTAAGTTTCAGAGTCTTTGGTCCCTGTCGAAAATACCATGGCTATGTAGAGTCCATCTTACTCTTCTAACCCTTTGAGAAAATACTAGAAATCTACTATCTATAGGCCTACAGAACTAACAGGGGCTGAGGTTAACCATCAAGCACCAGCTCTGGGCAGTGCTTACTTTCTTCTTCCTAGGCCCCTCCATGCACAGAATGGTTTCTATTCGTGGTTCTCCCACTTCCTTTCCACATAATGTTACAGCCACTCCCCTAAGCCCACTAATAACTACTGTCAATCTAGCTGTGCGTGTCCCAGCAGAAGGGAGAACTACCAGTCACCTTCCTGGCCTGCGTGTTCCCAGACATCCCCACCCCCACCCAACTCAGCTGAGACCAGCAATCAGTGAAGGCTCAAGGCATTCAGCTGTCTTCCCATCCTCCAGGGCTCCCTGAACTCACTTTTTAGCTCCAGAATTAATAAAGCGCAACCAGAAATGTTGCTGTTGTTAGCCCTGGGGGTTAAAGCTGCCACCACTACATAAAATCTCGGTAGTGAAGCCTTCCGCAAGCAAAGGAGGCTAATGACTCCCGTCCCTCTGTAATAAGCAACGGAAACAATCCTGCGTGCTAGCGAGCCTGCCCCCCGAGACAGCAGCAGCAGCAGCAGTGAGCTAGAAGAAGGTTGAAAAATGGGACTAGGTCTGAGCTCGGAGATGGGAATGTTGGAAAGGGAAAGGTCTTTGGGCACCACCTAAACTAGCCCCCTCAATACGAGTGGATTAATAAAATGTGGTATATGTATACCATGGAGTACTATTCAGCTTTAAGAAACAATGGTGATATAGCACCTCTTGTATTTTTCTGGATAGAGCTGGAACCCATTCTACTAAGTGAAGGATCTCAAGAATAGAAAAACAAGCACCACATGTGCTCACCAGCAAATTGGTATTAACAGATCAACACGTAAGTGGACATATAAGAGTAACATTTATCGGGTGTCAGGTGGATGGGAGGGGGGAGAGGATGGGTATATACCAACATAATGAGTGAGATATGCAATGTCTAGGGGATGGTCATGCTTGAAGCTCTGACTCGAGGAGGAAGGGGGGGGGCATGGGCAATATACATAACCTTAACATTTGTACCCCCATAATATGCTGAAATAATAAAAATAAACTAGCCCCCTCATGTTCACAGGAAGAGACCAAGGTCCAGAGAAGTAATCTTGCCTGCACAAGACCACAGCATCAGTTAGCGGTTGAGTTAAGACTAGAGCCACAGGCTAATCTTTCCAGAGCAAAATCCGGGGCAGCTCAGCCAAGCTATTTCAGACAAAGTCTCTCTCTGGGTCTGTCAGGCACTGATGTGTGCCACTGAGGCTTGGGGAGCCAATGGTGTCAGCAATGGGGTGAAAACTGGAGCATGGAGATGTTTCTTTTATTCCTATGCCTGTACCTCTCCCTCTCTAAAGGCAGGGGGCGCTGGTACTGAAATGGAAAACTTAATGCTGACATCCTTAGAAGGAAATCTGGAAGACAATCTGCATTCTGGATTCTCCCATCACAACCTGGTTGAGCAGTTCAGTTCAGGGGCATAACTATGGGATGTCGAGCAAAGAAGAGGAAAAATAAGAGGAGCTTTGACTCAACTCCTCCCTGGTATAACTAAGCAGAACACACCTCCTTTCAACACTCAGGGACCCGTACCTTCCCTTGGAAACCAGGCCAGAGCCCCCTCCCCTAAGCACCTAAGACCCTAACCCCCAAAGAGGGAAGGACCTCTATTTTGTGGCCTTTATTGTTTTAATATAAATCTCACTTAGCTACGCAGGGCCTGGGGAAGACAGCAGCCCACGGGCGTAACCCAAATCTCAGCTGATGAGAAAGCGCAGCAGCGGCCAAGGGAGCCCTCAGATGGCAGTAATCCGGATGGCCTGCCCTGTCCTCGGAGGGCCTCCAAGCCCAGACCCACAGACTCGGCACGCCGTGTTCTGAGAACAAGCCGAGCGTGGAGGGAGCTCCCCAGCCCACGTAAGTGATAGCTCCCAGCAAAGGAGGTTCCGGGGGACAGTCATTCCCGGTGTCAGTTCTTATTTCCTTTCCCCCTGCAAGATTGGCATTCAGATGAACCTCTCCTCTCAGGCTTTTGGGAAAGCACAGCCAGGAAAAAAAAATGTGTTCTGCCAATCCAGCATCCTCTCAACACAGTCCCCTGCCTGACACTCACAAATGCCCCTTTAAGGAAGCACTGCTGCTCAAGGCCTCATATGGTTTGGCCAGGGGAGAGCAGGTGGTCTCTATCTGAAGTGCCTCCTACCTCTATGTTTTGGAGATTCTATTATCTATGATGTTATGGGGGAAAAAAGACAGCATGGACCAATATCTCCACAGCATTTCATCAACAAAAACTTCTGCATGCTGTCTACCAGACAGTCCCTCTGCTTGTGTATGTGTGTGTGTATAGAGTCATATGCCACATAATGACATTTTTGTCGATCACAAATTGTTTATATGACAGTGATCCAATAAAATTATAATACAGAACTTCTACTATACTTTTCTATTTAGATACACAAATACTTACCAATGTGTTACAATTGCCTACAGCATTCAGTACAGTAACACGCTATATAGGCTTGTACCCTAGGAGTAATAAGCTGTATGGTATACCCAGGGCTGTCCAGAAAGTATCCAGTCACGTAATATGAAAAATAGAGACGGTTATTGAAGAAGATACAAGAAACACTGTACACAGGACAATGACACCTCATTCCCCTTCTAAGTAGGCACCTTGGAACTCACACAGTTCTCCTAGAGTCTCTTAACCTAACTCTTACACCTGCAGCATTCTCAGGTGT